AACAATGGGATCAGACACTGATCTTTAAGAGATACTGGCAAAACAAACCTCATCGAACCATAGCAACGTACCCCAGTCTGCTGAGTGACAGTTAAAGAGGCTGTGGAGATGCTTAAGCTAAAAGATCTTACAACAGTGGAATACTTTACAAACGTCCGCTGAGGATTAATTAGGTCCTAATAAAATCACAGAAGGACTGACTTAAGCCTGTGATCATTCACTTTCCACCGCTTGCTCGCTGTGCTTAGATGTTAATAATGAACCACTGAATTGTGGCAATGCTAGTTTTACCATTAGCTGCTTATAGTACATGCATATAATGTACAGTATATACATATATATAATACTAAACAAGTGGGTTGTACTATTTACAGGCAAAATTATTTTATCAATGTTTACTTTTGTTTGACATTTGTATTCTTCAACTAATTCATGTTCAATCAAGCTGAAAGAGAAAAAAATATTGCATTGACATTGTGAACAAAGAGACAAGCCTCTGAGAGAGGTGCCCTATTATTTTTATTCTTGGGAAGAGTTAGATATTGATTTGGATGAAGATATTCATCTAGCTCTAGGTTTAAAACATTTCCTTCTGGGGCTCTCTGCACAGCACCACTCTTCTTCATCACTCTCCCCGTTCTGTCCCCCTCATTAGGAAAACAGATCTCATTACAGAGGGAGCACAGCAGATTTAATACAGACTGGTTTAATGGTTCGATGCAGATCCTTTGCTTTTTGTGTGTGTGTCTGTTTGAGCACTAGTGTGAGTTTGTGCTACACAAATTCTCTTGCTAAAACATTTTCAAACTACCAAAACATGCACATAACATGGTGTTGATGATCAACCCAGCTGACCTCTTGTCCCTGTCTTTTCATCACTAAATATTTAATTGCATGAAACTAATGATCAAATACTTTGGGGATTTGTGTGTGTGTGTTTGTAAATGTGTAAGTCTGAAAGTCCCGATAGGATAATTTTACTGCATTTTACAAGACACCACAAAACACCTTATTTAACATGTGCTTCAAGGACTATACAACCACAATAACAGCCAACTGTAGGTGTGAAAATCACCTGCAGAGGGACTATACAACCACAATAACAGTCAACTGTAGGTGTGAAAATCACCTGCAGTGATCTAAAAATATGCAGTGGTGTACATGCAGCATCATAAAATATTCTATACGATGCATAAAATGTCTACATGTCTTCATCATAATGATTTTCATGATGAAGATTATAAATATATACCACCATGGTTGATACGTATAAAGGTTCAGTATCTAGGGTCTGTCATAAATCTCTAAGTTGCTCTGATTTGAAATAGAGTAAAATGGTGCTGTCCATGGTGCTGATCTGCTGACAGGTCAAACATCCAGGCATTGTTTTTCCATTTGGAAACAATTGAATTTTATTAGTAATAGTTAGATAAAATGGTATCTACATAAAAACAGATGTAAGATAAATCAATAAAAAAACAGTCTTGTTTGCGATTAGCAATTGTTGAAGAATTTGTGCCTGGCTCCTCCAAAGATACTGCAGGGAACAATGTTAAACTACAGCCTTTATCAGTGGTAATAGCTCAACCCTGCTACTAGATGCACTTGACAAATAGCCATGGTACTGAATCTCCCTGTTCTTACTGTCACCACCTGAGCTATGTGCAGGGCTGATGTTAAGCTATTAAAGAGAAAAAGTGCCACATCCATTTAGAGTCACTGTTATTCCCACTGGTCAGGGTCATCAATACAGGTCAAGATAGCTCTCATGACACTCAACCAGAACAGAAGGTGCAAAGGCACAATTGTTGGACTGAAGACAAGAATAGAAGGAAGAAGAATAAAATAGGAGAAGTCTTAGGAGTAGGATGCAGTGGAGCGTATTAAAGATACTGTTCAATCAATTTACTATCTTGGAATGCTGAATGAATTGCTGAATTATATGATATTAAAGGCAGGTAAGGTTGAGTGGTGACATTGCAAATGATAATGGATGACACAATAAAGTATGGGACTGAAATAAACGAGCGAAATAAACGAGCGGGAGAGAATCGAGAGAGAAAAATGTGTCTCAAAAATTCCACAAGGAACCGTACTTTCAAAGTGTACCTCGGCTCGACTCAAAAAACACACAGTGACACTTCGGTGAAATAAACAAATGTTTAACCACACCCTGAGGCGCTTACTTGTTACAGTTCGTCTTTATACGAGAACATTTGTGCTCTGGAGACTCTGTGGCTGCAGGAATTTTGCTTTGAAATAGGCCACATTAACCTGCAGTTCTCTTGGGTGTTGGCCTCGTTTAATTCAACAATAAAACAGTGCATGGCACGGCTGCCTGCACATGCACACATCATCATCATGTAAATACACATGAATAATGACACCATTAGAGGGACAGGTACATAGATGGAAAATAATATTAGGAAAAAATAACTGATCAGAGAGAGAGTCAATCAACTGACAGTGTCCTAAACTGTCAAGCCAATCGCTGCACTTTTATCAACTGTACACAAAACCTTAACCAACTTTTTCATAATACAATTCTTTTGGTTAACATTTATACGAGCTGATGGAAGAGAGTGAGAGTTACAGTTAGAGACACAAATCACAACTTACTTTAAGGTGTAAAGTAAATCCCTAGCTTTAAGATCCACTGTTTAAAAACAGAGCCGTGATATAACGGTAGATGACTAAGCCAAGGAACACATTTCACACGGTTCGGGTATAAATCTCCATGTATATATAGACTGTATATATCTAATATAAAGCTCCATAAACTTTAAATTTTATTCCCAGGATACAGTCTTAGTCTTGGTAAGTATTTCAAGGCTGCTGCTTATGTCCTGGTTTTTTTTTTCATTTATCCTCATGTATCTCTGCCTCAGTGTAAGGAATAAAACACACACATTTGTTCTTGTGCTGATTTTATCTGTGTGAGTCAAAGGAAAAATCAGCCATAATTGTTTGTTGTTTTAAAAGACAAGTGATAGATCTTACCCTTAGAGTGCACTCATCCATCTGCTGTTGTATTTTAATTTAGCCCATAACTATGTCAAACCTTTTACCACAAAAACAATGGATTCTCTGATCAAATTAAAACTTATGACAGCAACATTTGAGCAAGCAGTTAATTTTCATCCACCAAAATCACCCAGAATGTTTATGCTTTACTTAAAACCTTATTTCTACCACAGCCTTATAGAATCCTAAAAATGTTTTGCTACACATGAAAAGTTTTATTCAGAGGCTTAAAGTCTTTGCTAACAATATCTGACCATCCCGCCGCACTTCGATGTAATGTTTTAATCTCGGGTTTAAGTAGGTCGTTTGTGTTGCAGCCTTGTTACTAATGGTATGATTTTCATCCCAAAGCATTCTGTTTCTCTCACAAAGAAAGACAAGGGAAAAATGACTGGAAATAATAGGAAAATACGTTTATCTTATTTTGTAGCTAAACCTAGAACAATATCAGGTACATTGTAAGAGTAATTGTGTATTACTACATGAGTCCTTTTTATACTGAGACCAACTCTTTCTGATATTCAGATGTATTTCTATCCTCTCTCCACTGAATGACTTCTACCATTAAATTAAAATGATCCATTTCAGCCTAATGAAGCAATAACAAGACTCTGTCTTTGTCAAAAAAAGACACTGTGGTATAATTAATGACATATTACTCACTGTGTCAGCACAGTTCTTCATTTCTTCATTATGTACCGTCACTCTGTGCTTTATGAATCCTAATAATCTCGGCAGCATATACTGTATTATATTCATATATTCAGCATTTGGAAAACGCTTCCCTGAAGGAGCTGTTCTAACTGTGGTGTAGTTGGCAACCATCGAAGCTACAGACCAAGCAAAGCAGGAGTGCAACTGTACAAGTCGGGAGTTTAGTTCATAGAAAATTAGACATTCCATTAAAATATTGTTCTATATCAGAACAACAGTGTGAACTTCAAGCGCCCAATAAAATGTACACAGTTTAACCCTCAGTCTATTGATATGTTTTTCAAGATAAAGTCAAAATGTCCTTTCTGAGCGGTGCTCTACCCTCTACCTACCGAAAGCAAAGGTACAAGGCACAGTGAATTATGGATCAAGTGTGGATCATCTCTGTTCTTTGAAGTTCACATGTATTATTAATCAATGTTTGGAAAATAAAATCCTTTCGCTGTGAACACGTTTGGAATCCCACTGACATCAATGACAGCAGTGACTTAGTTCCCACTAATAAAAACCGACAGAACCACATTGTACATCAAACCCAGTTTACAACAGGAATACTTAGCAGCTAATAAGTTCTTGTTGATAATTAACATCAAGACCTGTGACTGTAGCACGACTACACACTTGGGTGTTTTCACACTGGTATGATAGGGTAATGAGATTGACATGGTTTGGCTAATCTCTCAGCGAGATAAGTTCAATGAGGGGTCTATTAAACTGACATGGCCGGGAGCAAAAGTGTTAAACGTGATCGGCTGAGAAGGAAGGAGGAGTGTGTGCGTGTGTGTGAACTTTTGGGCTCAAAGAAGTGTCCAGCTGTGAGTTTTTACTATTTGAATGTCAAATGTTCTACCAAATAAACAATAGGAAGGATGAGCTGATGGACACGGTGTTTAGGGTGTCGCATATTTAAATATATACTTTTGTAGTAATATTTGATGCTGATGTTGAATATTCCAAAGCTTTAATGTCCAAACATAATGGAGATAATAAGTGAGCCCTCAGGTATCTTTAAAGCAGGAAAGTTTGTCCACAGAAGTACTGCAATGAAAAATATTTTCAAGGTGTGCCCTCAAAGTTCAAGCCATAATTTCCTCGAATTTTTGAGAAAGACGTGACTGCAAACTAGTTAGTACCAAACATTATTGGCATCCACACATTTGACAGGTCGACCCACACTAAGTGAAAGAAAGGAAAAAACAAAAAAAAATCTACCACAGTGACACAGTGACTGTTACCAAATTGAGGGAGAGTTAAATCCTTACCCGTGTTGTTGCGGTAAGGGCCTGTGTCCGGCCCCTGGCTCTGGCTTAAGCTCCTCATGGGGGCCTTGTTGTGGTAGACACGCTCTTCATAGATGGGATCTACATGGCGTTCTGGTGACCCGAGGGGTCGAAGAGGCTCCTGAATGTGTTGACTACTGTAGGATCCACGAGAACCTGGAGAAAAAATACATGGGGAGGAAGAGAGTACGGAGACGGTAGAGTCAGTTTCAGAGGGGTTTCAGCAAAAACAGCAGTTAATACAGTTACAATACAGGATCACTTTGCCTGGTTATATAATGTATACACTGTAGTAAATGGGCAGGACCGTCACGCACTTATGTTTATGATATTTCCTCTTTTTTAATCAACAAACTTTTTTTTTTCTTCCACTGTGGATCAATTCATTTTTACTCCGCACCCTACACTGCCAAGCCACAGACAGCACAACATGCTGCACCACAAACCAGAACCAGACCAGAGTGACAGGACAACACCAGAGACAGACGCAGCAGCACAGAAGAAGAATAGGGCTGCGCAGAGGTCGAGGGAGGAAGAGCCAAAGGAAGAAGAGAGCCTCAGTTTTTCATTTGTTTAATCTCAGCTGAACACACTGCTGCTTGTCAGCTGTAAAATAATGAGATGCAGTGCCCCCCCCCCCCACACGCTCTGTGTTTGGCAGGAATCCCACAGACATGGGGCAAGGAAGTCAGTGACAGCAGGCATTTGTTCATTACACAGCAGAACAAATGTAAGGCAGGAGCCTGTGTATGAACACACACAGACAGTGGTAATAAAACAGGGGACAGGAGAAAAGGAGTGGAGCTGGTAAAGGCCTGTGGGGCTCAGTCCAAATGACCGGACATAAAGTCACGCAATTCAATGCACCAACTTCAAAAGCACTGAGTGACGAGGAGAAACAAAGACGGTCCAGTGGAGCTATTGTCACATCATATCACATTAGTTTTCAGTTTACTTCTTACGCTCCTCTCTCCCCCTCCCTCCTGTGTAGTCACCCTTAACTTGGCACAGTCAAACTTCCTCGAGCTTTCACACTGTATCAAAATCAATTCCCAAGTGACACAAACCCATGTACTTCACCAGTGCCTGCTTTTACTGCAGTATTTTATATTTAAATCAGAGTAAATTCCAGAACATTGTTATCCAGAACATTCTTAACTGATTAGCCTTTGGGGCAACACGAAGCAACAGCCTGAGGTAGAACTGGCTTCACTTTAAAGGAAAGTGACGAAGCATTACACTTCCTGTACTAGGGTTAACCAACTGTCCTGTTTGCCCAAATTGAGCAGCAACCAATCACAATCTGTTTACCAGTATCAGGCAGAGACAATAAAAAAACACAACTGAATATAGAAGTGTAAAAGAACAGCAGGTGATATAGAGACATGGGTAAAAATATACAAAAAAAAGGAATAAAAAGTTTTTTATATTTCATATAAAAACAAATGAGCATGTCTTCAAACAATATAGGACTCAGGAGATTATTTTAGCTACAAACAAAACTTTGAAGATTGAAACACTGACACCATTGCAATATGCTACAGAGACTGCTAATTAAAGTGGCGGACACACCCAATTAAGAGTGTGACTCATCCCAAGTCTCTCAATTTCAATTCCTTTAGTCTTTACAGCCACGGTGACTCAGAAGAATTTCCTTCTGCATTTACTTTTAGACTTAAACAAGCAAACTCATGAAAGTTTGGACCTTTTCTAGACAGAAACTGAAGAAAGAAATATACAGAAAAACAGAAAGAAATAACAAGAAACTTTTGTGATGTTGAGTTTCGTTTGATGATGATGTTAAATAAACGGTAAAGGAGCTAAAGATACCAAGATGTTTAATTTGAGTTTGAAATGCATGGTTGTAAATCTAAATCTAACGGACGTTTGGCTTAGATGTCACGATGTTTTTCAAACTGTCTTTTCTACAGTTTTTAATTAAAACACACAAAAAATTCAACTACTTTCAGAAACTGTAACCATTCTGACTTTGCCATTGAGCCAACTCAATTATATAGAGTCAACAGAAAAACCCATTTGACTGTAAATGCAACTGTTTGAGCAAAATATGTTCTGACAGAGTGGCAGAGTGGAACTGCTGCGTTACACAGTAGATACCTCTTTAACACCAACCACAGCACTCTGATGTGCTGCTTCATTTTCTGATCTATTCACTAGACTCGACATTTCTTGGAAAAGTACTTGGATGCAGTGTAATATAAAACACAGCTCCAAAACACAACGCAGGTGCAGACACTGAAAGTTGGATCAATATCAGACCCAAGCGTTCAAGGATACACTAATATTGTGCAAAACTTTCTCACACTTAGCCGCCATTTACAGTGAATGGTGGTTGTTTTACCTGTGATGTTGAATGCACATAAAAGTGTGTGAACTCTCACCGGCCAGGCTGCCAGGTCTCTGGAGTGTAGCTGTGGCGTAGAGTTCGTGGGAGATCTTGTACTGGTCGGAGGCGTGGTGAGATGCCAGTCTTTTGGGTGACAGAGTAGCATAGCTCCCTATGCCTGAACTCATCTGAAAGTCAAGAGATGTTGTCATTATATTTTCTTTGAAATATCATGCGGAAAACAGTTTATTGAATGGCTCTACGTTTTGTTTTTTGAAACAGATCTGGGGATGCAGACTACAATGAATGGCACTGCTCAGAGATGTTGGTTCACGTTGATATGATCACTTGGTGGAGGTGGTTGTAGAAGCCATAAAAAAATCAAATAACTTAGTTTAATTTCAAGAAACTAGATACATGTGTAATCTCTCTAGGAATATATGAAAATGGAATCAGATGGACGTGGTCAGCAACAATTCTATAAGAGGCTAGGTTCAGTTGGTACACAGCATCCCAAGTGTGCAGAGAAACATTACAATTTTTTCTGATGCTCTATTGTCTAATGGTGGTTACCCGTTGAAAACTGTAGTCATTGCTGACTGGTGGAAAAGTTGTTGGGAAAAAAGTTTTGGAAATACCCAGCTCAGCTCATCTCACTGCATAAGCACTGCAACATTACACTCACTAAAATCACCTTTCTTTACTGTTTGTCATTTTGACCTCTTATTTAGCTTAAGTAAGTACATTAAACTACCACAATCGACAACTGCATTACTGTGTGCTTTAAGGTCCAGCTTTATAGTCGTAGATAATGAAGCAGCCAATGATTGTTTTTTTTTTTTTTCTGCTGAGATTGTAAAACTGCCTTTACCTGGTGGAGGGGTGATGATGATGAACTGGCCCCTCCCCCTGCTATTGAGTTGGGTGGAGACACCACCCTCAGGGGAGACCCTGGCCCTCCCGCTGTTGTTACAGCAACTGTAGTGCTGCAGGAAAGTAACATCATTAGACAAAGAACAAAATGACAGAAAACAATCACATGTTCTATGTATGTGTATCCATTCATTATCAAACTGCTGACTATCATGATGTGTCAATACAGTCATTCATTTGTCCCCTTCATTCACCTTCAGATAAATTCAAACTCTATGCACCGGCATTAACACTGATACATCAAAATCAATAGCAGTGTCATAGCTGCTAGGGCTGTGTACCTGTACGACTTGGCCAGTCGATTGGCAGGGGACTGTTTGTTTGGTGAGGAAGAGGAGGAAGAAGGCAGGCGCTGGGTGGTGGAGTACCCTGGTGAGTCTGAGGCTGACCCAAGGCGCTGGAGCTTATTAGGAGAACCAGACCCTCCTCCAGTCAAAGGGGAACTGACACGCTGGGCTGGCAAGGTGGAGCTGGAGTAGTAGATACCTAGACATCAAGGTAAGAGGGAAAAAAGGTATTAATAAACACAGAAAGTATGTGATGATGAAAGAGAATAAGGTACAGCTTATGATGTAAATCATTTGGAGTTCGGATATTGGCGTGTCCAAGTTTGGTCTGAGTACATAGGCTTCACAGGCAGCAGTTAATGCAACTTATCAATTAATAATGGATGGAGAACACTGCTGTAAAGTCACCAAATTAAACTTACTGCAGACTCTAAGAACTTTCTACTACTTTCTACTACTAGCAATGTTTTTATTGCAAAACTTATAGACTGCTGTCTCCAAATATTTTTCAACACAACCACAGAGCACCGCAGTACATCACACTGATTCCTGCACCGGAAACTATTTATTATTTTTAGACAGAGGGACAGAGCAGAGTGAGTTCTGACCTGCTCCTGCTCCAGGTTGTGATTGCTGCGGTTGGGCTGCCCGACTCGATGTCACCTAGGAGCAAGAAGTGCCACACAGTGCATGTGAGAGAACGGAGCAATAAAAGCAAAGAAGTGACAAGTTTGGTGAATGATTAGTCGGACAGGGAGAACATTGGTAAAAGGGAAAGAAGAGAGAAGAGAGAAAAAAATACAGAAAAATGTTGAATATAAAACTTTTATGCACATTTTCACTAAAGCCTTTGGATTCTGACCAAAAACTGAGAAGCAAATAGGATTGGGGGGGTGATTTAATACATCATAGTCTATAGTCTAGACCAGTGGTGTCAAACCCAATAACTCAGTCTAGGTTGTGGAACAAACAGGAGTAACATTTACTGAACTGTCTAGTGCTGACAATCCTATAACCAGTTGTATTGTATTTGAACAGACTGCAGTGATTTTTCTTCAATAAAATAAATAAAAAATAAAAATAAAAAATGCAGCAATTAAAGTAAAAAAGTGTAGACTCTATATTATAAAATTTCATTTTAAGACACGCCTGGCCTGGTGGGCAACCTAAAAAGACAACATCAGGGTTAGGATTTGGGCCACGGGCCTTGAGTTTGACCTATGTGGTCAAGATGCACCATCTATCTAATGAAAAACAATAAATCTAATCTGATGTAAAATTATTTGTTTTATCTATATCTTATGTACGACAGAGTAATCTATTAACAAAGGGAGCTGTCCAAAGTGAAGTCAAGCATTTTTGTGCAGACCTACTTTTAAACTTACAGCTATATGCAACTTAATCCTTCAAATAAATAAGGTGTTGTGCCAGCCTGTCAGGCAAAGTGTGGGAGGTCTTTATATCACACACGCAGCTTTATTCTAATCTTCACCCCTCAGTCTCTGGGGGCTGCAGGGAGAGAGTAAACCAGTGCTTCACTGAGCCCCATCTTCTTAAGTTGATGTTTAAAGCTGCAAAGGTGATTCAAATACAATTCAACTAAACTGCCTGCAGTTGTGCAAACCGTAGATTATGCAAGTGCGGTGCGACTGAGTCACCTTGGAACAGTGCTCGTACAATATTTACACATAAACATTTTGCTGACTGCATTTCAACAGTGTGTTTTTCAGGATAAGATTGTGTGGCGCCCGTTTACCCATAAACACACAGCCGTGTTTATCTGCTATAAATATAGTGTATCTCAATCAGTAACCAATCTATTGAAAAATGAGCGCTGTGCACGACGCGAACACACACCCCCACGAACATAAACAATGTAGAGTAATATTTCTGCTTAGCCTGTACCAATATTTGCTGCCACAGTTCTAAAGAAATAAACCGCCGCGGTAAGAAGTGAGGCTGCCTTTCCTTAAACAAACACCATCTCCTCTAAAAATTCACTGTCTCTGGATATACACCTGCTCTGTGAGGAGACCAAGTGTGTCTACGGCAGACAGGAGGCTTTTGGTTTAATGATACTATGTTTACACAGAGGTCATAGAAAGTGTTTTATCCACGGCTGAGTGGATTAGCAGCCTCTACACAGTTTATGTAATCATAGCAGACAAGGACACTTTCAGGAGGTTTCACAGTATAAGAAATAGAATGTTAAACCTGTAATAGAACCAATAAATAATGTTACACACCCTGGTATAAACTACACTGCCAAGTGTAAATATCGTGATCATTTCCAGATCTAGTTCATAAAATGCACTAATGTCTGAAATTATAGTGCTGTTTCCCAACTAATCCAGTTTATGTAAGAAAAAATGAAAACTAATTACCACACAGACACACACTTTGCAAACCACTAGTTCAGAGTGCCCAATTTTCCTGAACCACCAACCTACATGTGACTGAAGAACATGAGAGAAAACATGCAGAAACCACATTAAATCAGTTGCTACTCAAACTGCTGACCTTCCTGCTGTAAGGCAAAGGAATTAACCACTTTTCCCACTGTACAGCCCCACCTCACCGTTATTTCCAAAGTCAAAGTACTTCCCCCTGGAACTACTTGGTATGGATTACTGCATGACTTTCACAGTCATCAAAAAGGTTGTTTGACGTGTTGATGGAATTTATGAGCCCATTTAAATTCAAATGCTCTGCGTATACAATGTGACTTCATCTGTTTGTTTAAGTGCATGTGGATGAAGGGATATTAGGGTGGATTAGTAAAAGTGTCTATAAATAGACAGAAAGAGGCTCTAAATAGGATTTTGCAAGAGCTGCTCTCTAAAAGTGTTTGACACAAAACTGGCAGAAAAGTCTTCGACAAATCCCTGGTGCTGGTTTAATAGCTTGCGAAGACAAGCTGGAATTCTGGAGTTAACAATAGATGTGGGCTTCAAAACGGAGTCAATGCTACGGCTGGGCTGTGGTCATCAAGAGTTAGAGTGAGACAGACGTAGACTGAGGGATGATGAAGAGTTCGGAGGTGGACTGAATAGATGAATGGACAGATAGATGAATAGATGGACAGATGAGGACAGCTCAATTACTGGGTAAATAAATTATGAGTGTTGATAAATTGCTGGCGGAGCTAAGTAATAGACAAAAAGTCTGACACACACTATGTGGGAGGGAGGCCCGTCGTCACACTGTGCTGCTTATATTCCACCCCAGAGTAAAACACTGGGATGTTTGAGGTGCGATCCCATGTATCCATGCAATATTTAGACTCTCACTAAAAATACTCTACGAAGAAGCAGCAACATGCAAAGCTTTTCATTTTTACCTCTTTAAAAATTACTTTAAATCACACTGTGGTGGACGGGCATAAAGAAAAAGGCTAATGTGTGGTGGACACACACGCACATGCAAGCCACACCTGCCCATTCAGTAGCAATGACATTTGAAAAGAAATCCAGGGGCAACAAACCCTGCTGCCAACACTGGCCCCATTACTGAAAAGCCAAATACTTCAGAGAGAAGAATGCACACACACTCATGCTCACACAGAGAGACAGGGGGCGAGCATAGGAAGGGAAAGCAGCGAATAAGGAGGAGGGAAAAGAGGACAGAAATGCTGCAATAGAAGAAGGGCAGGAAAGACTGACAACTGAGAGGGAATGAGAACAGTTTTGACGACTGTTGTCTGTCCATCAACATCAGCTCTATTTTCAGATTTGCACCTTCCTGTGCTTGCTGTGTTTGTATGTACATGCACATTCATACAAACACACATTTTAAGCTGCAAGTAACATAAACTCAAGCAAAGAACAATCACTTTACAGCCAGCTGTAAATATTTTATGTCAAATTTATATCCGTCTGTGGGTGAAGGAGTATTTGTTCTCCATATGCACGTGTTTCTGTTGGTAAGCATTTCTGTGAGTTACAGTGTGTGTGAAACCATTGATCCTGGTGGACCAATGGCCTCGACAGAACCCTGTGGGGTTTCTCCCTTTACCGACAGACTGCTGTAATTAATATGCAATTTAGCTCTGGTTTCCAAGTGCATATAATGACACAATATCAATGCCTCCGTCTATTTAATATTCCTTATTCTGGCAGACTTTAAATTCTCCACATTGTCCACATTTTTCTCTCCTGCCTGTAAATATGTAAAAGAATAAACATTTTGGAGTCAGTTTTGGAGACTTCTACAGCCAATGTGCACCAAACTGAGATGTGTTGTTAAACAAATATAGAGAAAGTGAGCAAGATTTCCCCACAATGTGCAGTTCGAGCCACAGCATCATGTTCCCAACGTCTTTGTTGAAAATAAAAACAGCAAGGAATCTGAAATGGGCAGCGACAGCCTCTGCAAAATATTTCATTTCACTCATCAAATGCTAACAAATCACTTTATGTTGTTTCTTTTTCGACATCAAACCATTTTAAATGAATAATTAACAATATACTACACTCACGCAATATAAAAAGTGCGACTGAAACTGGCAGCGTATCATATTAAAGTTGTTCTAAACAGCATACATTACACAGTAGTCTGACTGTACTCCAGCCACGGTTGCCTGATTATCATCCTTGTAGTAGTTGTGCCTACCTGGTTGTAGCTGTGCACAGCTCCTCCGACCTGCCCGCTGCGCTGAGGAGTTGCTGCGGAGATGCTGTCGCTAAGGGCGAGGGTCTGGTTGCTATGGTAGCTGGCAGAGTACTGGAGCGAAGCCTCCGGGGTGGAGTTGAGCTGCAAAGAACTCTGGGAAAGAAGAGCCGGTCCTACAGATAGAGACAGAAGTGGTGTGTGGTCGGGTTAGAGGTGGGGGTTGAGTCGCGTTTGTGTGTGTGTAGACGCACAGTGAATGAGGGTATGAGAAGAGAGAGATTAGGAGTGAGAAAGACAGGAGGTATGGAGAGGAGAGATTGAGCAAAGAGTGAAATGGGAAAGAGAGAGAGTGAGAGAGAGCAGCAATTTAGAGCAGATAGTGCAGCAGTGCAGCACTCCGTGAGTTGGCGAAGGCATACATAATTTATTAGC